TGTAGAATGTTTAGTACATTCGCTTAATATCGTTTTCCCTCTTTAATAAATTTTTAGGCACCAACTTTTACTGCGTTATAATCGTACAACCTTAATAAATGTTAATTTTTTAAATGTTTTTTCTTAACTTTAACTTTCTTAACACGAAAAATAATTCAATCGGTATCATGAAAGTGATTGGAAAATTGGCAAAAGCCAATTTTTTTAAATTTTAAATTGGCAAACACGAATTTAACGGTTAGGTGTAGTCACTTAATTTTTTTTATTATTCAACTGTCAATTTATTGAATGCTTCTTACATATTTAAGGCTGATTGCAATTTTTCGGTTCATTAACTGATCTATATCTAATTTGAAGCATTTTACAGAAAAAAATTTTCATTTTGAATCAATTTAACTATCGACAACTACCTATAGTTATAGATTTTAAGACTTTCAGGGTGAGCTAAAATAAGCAGAAACCTTTGAAAAATCGGTAGTATTGGAAATACCACATAAATGTTATCATTACTCATTGTCAGCAAAAAGGGTAAAAGCCATAATCTATGTTTATGTTCAGAGAATTCGACTCGTAATTTTGAGTAGCTGATCTAAGCATAAATGGTTAAGCTCAACCGAATATACCGATGAATTTTAGTCTCACAAGAGAGCCTTGAAGAACTCGTTGTATCAACAACATAATAAAATACGTTCTGCTTGTGTTGAAATAAATACATAGTTATTTTATTTCAATGCCCTTTCCCTATTATAATCTAATAGGTAGTTTACGCTTAACAGAATTGTTTTAATAATTTCTGAATTGAATAAAATTGTTTGATTTTTGTCGTAAAGTTTTAATGAGCTGCGTAATAAACTGGCATAATTTATCTCGAAGGATTTTAACTGGAAGAAATTAGGAAAAAAACAGAACTGTTTCTTTACAATTGGCAAGAAGACGTTTACAATTGGCAAGTTTGAGCTTCTTTTTAAAACAGTTTTATGCAGCTTTAATTGCTACAATGAAATTGCATTTTGCTCTATTTCTTACGTCTTTGGATTTTGCCCTATCTGTTACGTTAATTTTGCCTTAACAGTCGTGATATGACAAAGATAAAAAAGTTGTGTGCCATTTGACCATCGTTGTAAAGAACAGAACATCATAACGTGTTGAAAATTACATTTAAAAACTGTAAATAATTCAAATGTAATAAAGTATTGCTGGTAAAAAATGACTCAAACATCTTGGGGGTTCAGATGCCTGGACACCGAGTTTTCATATTTTCGTAGGAGTATTTCCCATATAGATTGAATTCAAGGTTTTGATTAACAAATGTCTAATTATTCAAACGCATTAAACCTTTCCATTATATAAAAAGATTGACTTCCCCAAGATTATTGAACATCCTAAAATACAACTGCAATTTAATGAAAACATATAATTGTATGACTTTCTATTTTTAATCTTTCCCACAGTATTTCTGTTCTATGCGTCGGGGTTTGTCGCTATAAGAGAACTTGAACTTTTCTTAGAGGAAATTTGAAAAATTAGGAAAAGTACTTTACGCATTTCGTGAATATGACTGAGTATGGGAGTACTTAGTCTATCAAGTACATAAAGTCTTCAATATTATTTATTTTTAAATTTTTTGTAACTTAAAAGTATGTATTTAAGGCACACTTAGGCTCAAGCTGTAAGAGATTTTTTAAGAAATGCTCTCTTACAGCTTGAGCCTAAGTGTGTCGCAGAATATCCTCTAGGTGATAGTTCTTGATTACTTTTTGATAAATAATTCGTTCTTATTGCGAAATGGGAGCACTATTTATCAATCTGTAATAAAAGACGTGAGGAAATTCTGTCTTTTTTAAAGACAAAAATTTTTGAGGCGAAATACCCAAAAAGAAGTTTGTAAAAAATTAAAAGTATGTATTGTTTTCAACTATAATTTTTTGTATCGTCGAACTTCTTGATCACGTTTGCCTCTTAAGAGAAGTAAACTAGTTCTATGTTCAATGCAGTTTCCTTTTATACTTTAAATCATTGTGTCTTTAAACAGTTACAGTTAACGATTCCTGGCTACATGACTAGTTAATACTACTAGATCAGGCAATCGGTTGAAAAGTTAGCTCGTTAGCGTGGCTTAAAAAAACTTGATTTTGGAAACTTTGCCAGTCCATCAATGCCAAATGTTAGTTCAACAACACATTCGAGTATCTAATTCATGGGTAATCAGTCATCATCGATTAACACCAACGCGTCATCCAGCATTTCGTTGCTACTACGAAAACATGTGCTGATTTCTGCATTTATAGTTTTGATTTCTTCACAAATATTGATGATTATTTGCTTGAAATTTGGAATCAGTTGGGAATTTAGCGGAAAATATCGAATTGAAATCGAAAAAAAGAGAATCGAAAGCTCGTAGGTATTGTATATAAACATATATTCCCTATGAACATTTTCGCACAAATTTAAAATTGAAATATTTTCGACCGTAACGTTATAGGGTTTCCTATTTTATACCTTTGGAAGTTTAGCAACTCTAATGTAATAAGTTTTGCATATTTAACGAGTTTTCTGTTTATTATAGTTTTTCGGTTTCCCCCATTTTCTATTTTCAACAATTAGTTGAGCTCATAGCAAACTTTCCAGAAGCAACCATAATTTCTTCTAAGATAAACGTGTATTTGGACATAAAACACATGTGTGTTTCTTTTTTCTTTTTGATAAGTACATTATTTACGGAAGGTAGTTTACTACAAATCCGACTTTGGATTGGATCACATAAAAATTCGTTTCCGACGCTTTTATTATATTGAGGTTCTTTTCCGTCAGAACAATGTGAATACTCTGTACAAGATCGATGTTCCTTAAATGAAAACACCGGAAACCTTTCACGTTAATACTGTAAGCCTCAGATTCTGGAAAAGTTTATATTGCTCTTTAAGCAGCTCCAGCTTTTCTAAACAATTGCTTCCCGCTTTGACACGCCACGCTTTTCATTAGCTACAAAATATTACAGCATTTTATCCTCATAGTTCAATTTAGAAGGCTGCTAAAACAACCACGAAACACAACTAGACAACTAGGTAGAAACAGATTTATAATGTTTTTCAAAAGTAATTCAGTTTTCACTGAAGAATTTCGAACAGTTTGAAAATAAATTGTTTAGCAAAACGTAAATGAAACAATATAAAGGCTTCCAAATTTTCATATTTGGCATTCTCGATTTCTTAGGAGATACATCGACAAGGTCTTTCCGCCCTTTTAATATTAATCCTCATTTGGGCAGTTTATATTTACTACCACTTAAAAAATCGGTTGCTTGTTTTAAAAACTAAGTATCTAATAATTTTTAACATTTTGCTCACTTTTGAGTTCATATTTGACCAGCTTCTAATAATATCCTGATTGGTTTTAATGTGAAAATTTACTTACTGAACTTCATATTACATTAAAATATTTGCGTTAGCCCTATTATCAAGTTTTAGCCCTATTATCAATATTAAATTCAAAAATGACATTTTTGTAAAATTAGTTGGAACAAACAATTTGTTCTCTTTAAATTACTCAAAAAACACATTTGTCTGTGTCATCTTGAAGCAAATAAAGTTGTTCTGCCGTCCGACAAGTCTACAGAACTTTAAATCATTTCTACACTATAATATTTTGCACTTCCTTACAAATCCTATTGCACTTGTAAGTATATAAACTAGATGTTGGAGCAAAATAAAATGTGTAGTAATACGCCTAAAAAATTCACGATTTTTCCTACCAATACTGCAAAAGTTATTACTTTTTTTAAACTCTATTATTACCAGGGCCATTGATATTTACGAAATAATAGCAGGGTTTTAGGCATTGTTTCAAACCAAAACACTTGAAAGGTTTCCGATTTTCTTCTGCTAATTTTTAATTAAATTAATGACTATTTGTTGGCAGCAAATTTTAAACCGTAATTGTAGTTTATCTGTAATTTATAAATTTAAGCCGCTCATCATATTTTGGGTTATTTAGCATTAACGGTTTGTTTTCGGGCATGCAAAAGAGCGGATGCAACAAAACAATATTTGCAGAGAATAAGGGAGATTATTCAAAACCGGAATTCGTATTAGCGATCCCTAATTTAGGTAAAATGTATTTCACTCAGTTAAAGAAAATTTACCGCCCGAGGAAATACAACTTTTCCGCGCCGCATTTTTTTGCAAACATTAATGAAGCACGTCTAAATCAATCTTTCTCGTAATTAATTCCTAATGCCTTCGAGCCTTTAAATTTTCTATCCACTTTCCTTTCCGTGAAATATTTTCGGAGTAAAGACAAAACTCCCGGTTTTATTTCGAAAAGTTTTATTCCCTTGGAAGGACCCTCAGTTATCTTCTTTCGTGTGGATTTAGGTCCTCCAGGTAATCCGTTACGTTCATACATGGGGGCAAATAATATTGATGGGATTATAACTTTTCCACCGTTTAAGTTTCAGTTGATACATCGGATATTTTCCTTGGTTGGCCTAGAAGGTTTATGTTACGTTGGTGTTGCCGATAAACGTGATTTACTTCGATAAAAACTATTTTTATTTTTCTATTTTAAGTGTTTGGGCAAAAAATTGTGTTTACCTTGCATTGGGGTACTGTTCATACGGGGTGAGCCCTACGTTAATAACATATTTAATTTATGTAAAAGTCATTTTTATACCGCAATGTAAAGTAAGAAAACTCATTGAAAAAGCCGGTCGGTTTGGTTCATGCACATGTAATGGAAATTTGCATCTGTATGGGTGTTCATTATTAGAACCCCTGAAAATGGTTAAAAGAGCGAAAATCGAAAGTTACTTTTATCGAGTTTTGAGTAAACATTACGCACTGGACATCCTAATATAACCTTTTGTACCCTATAACTTCTTTTGTTCTTGAAACACGCAGCAACCTTTCTCCCTTCTTCTCTGTTAGATAAACTGTATTTGAATAAAGTGAATTAATTAAGCATTAAATTAATCCCATTTTTAAAGCATTTTTTTCTTACAGGTTAGTCCGGGGAGTTATGGACGTAAATGTTAATATGCGAGTGGGCATTCATACAGGCAGAGTCCATTGTGGCGTACTGGGACTTCGCAAATGGCAATTTGATGTCTGGTCTAATGATGTAACTTTAGCTAATTACATGGAAAGTGGAGGAATTCCTGGGTAACTATACTTCTATACACCGAATTTAATGTACAGCAACTTCGTCACAGCGTAAAATATTAAATATCAAGTTGCACAAATATTCGTCACAGGCGAAGAAGAAAAGTATTTCCACTATGCAAACGTGGAGTGTGTTAATTTACTAGCGAATAACACATTTGCATTGGCTTGGGTGCAAACCAGCCGGAAAGTGTGTAATTCTGTCGACATTTCAATGTAGTTTTATTGTAGGCAGAATTAATTTATTAGTTTTTATTATACCAATTTTTTTCTAGTAAGTGCCCTAACTGCAATTCTACAGTCTAATTTGGCCACATTTATTAGTGAGTGCTGTCTGTTTCCATTATGTTCTGTCCTGTAATTGCTTTGCTACATTTCCGCAAAGATTACCGTATATATTCTGATCTTGAAAGACTGAAATCGTGTATCACAAATGATTTTATTTCTGTATCTGTCTTGTTAAAAGAGTTTATTATTATTTCGTTGTTTAGAGCTGTTTTCATTTTACTCCTTTGCAAACATTTTAATTTTGAATTTATAAAGAAAACGAAAATTTTCAAAAGTTTGGAATACCTACAAGGCGGTAGTTATTTAACACTCAACAAGCAAAAAGCTTTTGACAAGGCAGTCGCAGAGTTCAGAGTTTTATCTAGGAATAATCCACCTCAAAACATTAATAAACGTTCTTAAACGACACCCGCTTTGGACCTAAAATTTTAAACGTTTAAAAAAATATTTTTTTCACGCTGCAAATCTGACAGCCACGACTACATATCTGAACAATATTATAACTTTAAATAAGTTATCAAATACTAAAGAAACTGATTTGAGGTAATAACTTCTTTACTTAGATCTTTACCAGGTACAAGGCAAGTGTTATATGCAATATAAGCTTAATAGTTCGCTGAAAGTTTTGACCTGTTTTCGTCTGAAGAAAAATATAATTTGGCATAAAGTAAGCAAGTTATTGGTCGATTAGCTAGATCTTGGATTACAAGGAATTAATCCGAATAAGCGTGGAAAGTCTGAAGAATTTTTAACTGAGTTTGATATGAAGTCTCCGAATATTTTAGTCATTCTTTTTGAGGTGTCTTCAGGTTTTTTATTTATTTTGAAATTATTGCTACTTTTATTAAAATTATTAATTTTGTTTTACTGAATTTTACTCTGCACTTTAATGGATTTAAATAAAAACAACCAGATGAGAAAAAGACCGTCAAAAATTGAGCAAGCAATCCACCGAGTTTCTTTAAATTCAATAATATAAAACTGACAAATGTTGTTGGCTAATTTACATATTTTCCGCCTTTCGTTTTGTCTATTTACAATTTTAAATTTCGATTGGCTAAATTGCGCTTTCTGCTATTAATTCTAATAAGGACCGTTACAAGTTTATCAGACAGCAGCAATTAAAGTTTTGTAACTTAAAACTATCCGAAATACTTCACCAAAAGAAGACATTAAATGATTATAGGATACGAAACTGTATCGCGGTTTTTTCAAGAACAAACAACTTTTTCAAATTAAAAGTTTTAATTAAATATTTATATAGAAAAGATTTTAGTCAAATGCAGCTGTAGCGCACTTATTTTCGTAGTTACCCCCCATTAACAACCGATTTCAATTAAAAGCGCAGAAGAAAAGTTTTTCCAAAGGATTTTTCTGAAAATTTACGATGTACTTTCAATTTAACACTCGAAACCTTTAAAACTAGCATTTTTTTTCTCTAAGAATAATTTATCTCGCTCGGAATATTTTTACCGAGTTGACACATTGCGTGATGGTGAATTTATGTCTTCTGAGATAATATTTGAGTCTCAAATGCACTGTTAAAATTTACCATGTTATTATTTATATTTGACCATTTACGGTCTTTAATCCTTCAGCCTACAGATGCTAAAAAGAGCTTCAGGGATCTAAGTACGGGTTTTCTTCAGTTGACGGTGGATTTGAATGATTTGATTTTTTCTGGACACTTGCATTTGAGAAAATTAAGTTGTTGGTCGTACTTTATTATTTTTTATTATTGCTTAAGTGGACTCATTTTATTTCGTTCACTACTTAGCAGTACAGCAGTATAAAAATATAAGTATTACAAAGTTTTAAACCTTGTGTAATGGGTGTGGATTACCTCCGAATGCATAAACTTGGATTTTTCTGGAAAGTTTCATAATTTATTTCAGTTTTACTTAACGATCCTAATAGGCAATTTTGTGTTCCAAGTGTTTGCCTTTCTTATGCTAATTCCATAACGCAACTTCTTATCGTTTTACGAATGGAATATAACAAATTTCATAATTATGTATAAGGTACAGCTTAAACTGCTTAATAGCAAAATCGCCGCTCTAAACATAACTTGCCGGTTTGCTATTAAATAACCTGCTGTTACCAAACTCTGTAGTTGCTCAGCTTTGAGGGAGCACGCATTAGCATACGGTAGAGGGATCGTATTAGCATATTTGAATTCTCTAAGGAATTCGTATATGAGAGAATTATATTAATAACTAACCGGATTTAATTAATTCCACTGGAAAAACGAAGTTTACATAACCCTGGGTTGCAAGACCAACTTTTGACAATGAAGATATTTTTCTTTATTTTTAAAAACAATCATCCTTTATAACATGGAATGAATATTGACTATTTCCTGGAATCAATTTAAATATTTCATTTATTTCAATTAATGGAAAGCTTTCGCATGCAGCCTATGTGTACATTCGCAATATTAAAAAATGGAAAAAAACATGTACCCGGTTAACTTGATCTAAACAAAAATAAATTAATTTTCTCCCTTTTTGCAAATAGCTTAGAAACGGTGCTTCTCAGAACTAGGGCA